AGAGGACCCTAAAGATGCTATCAAAAAACTGTTAGGACTAACAAATGAATTCAGAAAAATTACAGGATACAAAATCAATACACAAAAATCAGATGAATTTCTATATACTAATAATGAATTATCAGAAAGAGAAATTAAGAAAACAATCCCATTTACAAATATGTCAAAAAGACTAAAATACCTTGGAATAAATTTATCCAAGGAAGTGAAAGATCTGGATCCTAAAAACTAAAAGACAATAAAGAAATTGAACACAATACAAATAAATGGAAAGATACTCTGTGCTCATGGATTGGAAGGAACAATATTGTTAAAATGTCCATACTTCCCAAAGCAATCTACAGATTCAATGTAATCCCATGTCAAAATTTCCAATGACTTTTTACAGAGACAGAAGAAATAATCCTAAAATTTGTATGGAACCACAAAAAAATCCTGAATCACCAATGCAATCTTGAGGAAGAACAACAAAACTGTAGGCATCATGCTCCCTGATTTCAAACTATACTACAAAGCTACAGCAACCAAAACAGTATGGTACCAGCATGAAAAGAGATGCATAGATCAATGGAACAGAATAGAGAGCTAAGGAATAAATGCATGCACATATGGTCAATTAATTTATGACAAAAGAGCCAAGAACATACAATAGGGAAAAGACAGTCTCTTCAATAAGTGGTGTTGGGAAAACTGGGTATCGACATGCCGAAGAATGAAGCTGGACCACTATCTGATACCACACACAAAAATTAACTCAAAATACATTAAATATTGTAATGTAAAACCCCAAACCAAAAAACTCCTAGAAGAAAACATAGGCAGTAAGCTCCATCACATAGGTCTTGGAGATGATTTTTTTAATCTGACATCAAAAGCAAAAGCAATAAAAACCAAAAATAAATAAGTGGGACTACATCAAACTAAAGAGCTTCTGTACAGCAAAGGACACTGTCAACAAAATAAAAAGGCAGCCTACTGAATGGGAAAAAATATTTGCAAATCATATATCTGATAAGGGGCTAATATCTAAATATATAAAGAACTCACACAACTAAACAGTAAAAAAAATCTGATTTAAAAATGGGCAGAAGACATGAAAATTTTCCAAAAATGACATACAGATGGCCAGCAAGTAGATGAAAAGAAGTTCAACATTATTAATCAACAGGGAAATGCAAGTTCAAACTACAATGAGATATCACCTCACCCGTTAGAATGGTTAGTATGAACAAGACATGAAATAACAAGCATTGGCGAGGATGTAGGGGAAAGGGAAACATTGTGCACTGCTGGAGGGAGTGTGAACCGGTGCAGCCACTATGGAAATCAGTATAGAGGATCCTCAAAAAAGTAAAAATGGAAATACCATATGATCCAG